AGCGAAGCTATGTGGAGTTATGACCTTGCGGGTTAGATTCATGTGTTCTATTTCTATGATGAGAGACGGGTTCTCAGCCTTGCGCTGTGATGGTACTGGTGATCTTGAGGGACAACTCTTTCATTTGAGTTATTTTCATAATTTGAGTATGTTCGGACTGTTGCTTATTGGTGCGCGTTTTGCGCCAGTTGAGGCTTAGGACTGTATTGATCTGTCATCTCACCAGAGTAGTGTGTTGGATCAGAGGAGATCGTTGGGATCATTAATGAATACGAATGGATTCGATTTCAGCATGTTAGAAGGATAATATCGAGGTTCGGCTCAGAAATTTGCTATGGTCTTTGCCAAAGGAGAAGGGGCTTCATGAATGGTTGATCTGAGAAACGGTTATGGCCTTTCATTGGCAGTATATGAAAGTGTTGGAATGAGACTTAAGTGGATAAGAGGTTTTCTACCAGTATTCAGTTATTGTGTGCAGCTGTTGTGAATGAAAGTTATCGCTACATGTGCTTGAGTTATGTGGTATATCATATAATTACACCTGAGGTTGCAAGCACGGGTTATTACAGCTGGTTCGGGCCTATTTAGAGTATAGATGTGGGGTTGTGATCGTATTGATGGTTTCAGAAGTGGAAATGTGGTTCTATGGTTTATAGGCTAGATTAGGATTGTGTAATTTCAGTTACAAGGTGTTATCGGACCTATGTGAGATAGGGTGACGTGGGATCACCCCCGGGTATGTGCATGGTAAGGTTATTCAGCGATTGGTTGGCTTTTGGAACAACTCTTGGCACGTTCGAGGACGAATGTATGTTTAAGTGGGGAGGATGTAACGACCCGACCGGTCGTTTTGAGCTTTTGCACTTTGATCGCTAGCTTTCGGGCATGACTTGCCCCATGTGATGTATTATGACTTATGTAAATCGTTGATTTTGGTTTTCAGGGTAATCGGAATGAATTTGGGAGAACAGTTCTCAATTTAAAGCTCTAAATTTGTAGGTTTAACCAAGATTTGACTTATTTTGTATATGATCTCGGATCGGGATTTTTATGAGTTAGTTAGCTCCGTTAGGTGATTTGGGACTTAGGAGCGTGATTGGAATGCATTTTGGAAGTCCGTGGAAGGTTTAGGCTTGAATTGGCGAAATTGAGATTTCGGCGTTTTCCGGTCGATAGGTGAGATTTTGATATAGAGGTCGGAATGAAATTCCGACAGTTGCAGTAGCTTCGTTGTGTCATTTGGGATGTGTGTGTAAAATTTCAGGTTATTCGGACGTAGTTTGGTTGGGTTTTTTATCAAAATCGTATTTCGGAAGATTTTAGGAACTTAGAATCCGATGTGTTTTGAGAGATTTGATGTTGTTTGAGGTGTTTTGATGATTGGAACAAGTTTGAATAAGGTTTTAGGATGTGTTGGTGCCTTTGGTTGAGGTCCCGGGGGCCTCGGGTGAGTTTCGGGTGGTCAATCAGACCATTTTGGAGTTTGGAAAATTCCAGATTTTTGTTCCAGCAGTTGCAGGTATTTTGGCCTTCGCGTTCGCGAAGGGGAGCTCGCATTCGCGAAGGGCCGGGTTTCGTAATATTCGCATTTGTGAGGGTCGAGGCCGAGTTCGCGAAGGCTTGTGAGGGGATTGCATCGCGTTTGCGAGTGAGTATACGCGATCGCGAAGGAGGTTTTGGGTTTGATGGGTCTGAGGTCAGTTATTCATCTCGTTTGCGAAGGTCAAGGCGGAGGAAGCATCGCGTTCACGACTGGCGTGTCGCGTTCGCGTAAGGTAAAAGTTGGTCAACGTAAATTTGTGCTACGTGAACGCGAGAGGTTGACCGCGTTCGCGAAGAAGGAAAGTCAGGCCTAGGCAGAATGTTTTAAGTCGTCTTGTCCGCGATTTTGGGTCTATTTTCACCCATAGATGCTCGTTTTTGAAGATTTTTGAAGGAGATTAACGAGGGATTCAAGGGAAATCGATTGGAGGTAAGAATTTCGAACCTAAAACTCGATTATATTGTGAAACCCACCTAAAATATCATGGAATTTAAGCTAAAAATGGAAGAACTAGGGCTTGAAATTTTGGAATTCTAATTGGGGATTTTGAAGACCATTTTGGGTCGAATTTGAGAACTTTTGGTATGTATGAACTCGTGGGGAGATAAGGAACCCGTTGATTTGAAATTTTTTGAGTTTCGAGAAGTGGTCCCACGGCTCGGGTTTTGCTAATTTTGGGATTTTTGGTATTTTTCGAGTGTTTTCACTTGGGCTTTGTTCCCTTGACATATTGTGACATTTTCGTTTTGATTTTTGATAGATTCGACGCGCGGGAGGCCGATTTGAGGGGCAAAGGCATCACGAGCTAGAGATTTAGCCGGTTTGAGGTATGTAATGATTGTAAATGCTGTTCTGAGAGTTTGAAACCCCAGATTACACATCGTTGTGTTACTTTGAGGTGACGCACATGCTAGATGACGAGCGTGGAGTTGTGCATCATTGGGGATTGTTACTTGGTCCGTCTCGTATGACTGTTAAGTCGCGTATTTGATTTGAAATCTTATGATGTTCCATATTCTAGAGATTGATATTATATGTTTGGGCTGTATGCCATGCTTGGGGCCTTGTGCCGACCTGCTGAGACGCTTAGGGTCACTTTCACTATTTCCCTCACTCTATTTGTTTGAAAGCATATTCTCAATCATGTTTTACATGTTTGTTGTTTAAATCTAGTTTATCACTCTATTTCTTAAAAATATGAAAACTGTTTGGGCTGAGTTCCCTGTGTTACTGATGGTCCAAGTGATCGTGAGGTTGATGACTGAGATAGACCGAGAGTCTGATTGTAAGGTTAATGACTGAGAGAGGCTGATGGCCTGGTTGTGAGGATTATATAGTTATGGATCGGGCTGCACGCCGCAGCAATATATATATGTACATGGACCGGGCTGCATGCCGCAACGATATTTATATGGATCGGGCTGCATGCCGTAGCGATATATATATTGGATCGGGTTGTGCACCACAGCAATATAACACTTGGGTTGTAGGAGCCCCTCCGGATTTTGCACACCCCCAGTGAGCGCCGTCGATGAGATATATGGATCGGGCTGCACGCCGCAGTGATATATGGATCGGGCTGCACGCCGCAGTGGTTACTATATGGTACCTATTGAGCGTGAGTGCTGATTGGTAAGAGTTGAGTCATGAGTGACTGAGAGGCTAGCCCGAGGGGTGATAGATATATACATGCACATGAGTGATACTTGCCTAAAAGGCCTGTTTATGAACTTATTGATTTTTCACTCCTCTTAAGAATGAGTTTCTATCGAATATGTTGATTTATTGACTGTTTTCACTCATCTTTATATTGAGCCTCTGTCGAAGTGTTGAACAAATATTTTAAAAACAACTTTCATTTAAGCTGGGGTTTATGAGATGTTCAGAATTTGATCACTGATTTGACATCGGTTATTTCCACTAAAACTTTCAAGTTATGATGTGTTTATGATTACTGTTTTGCCCAAGGGGCTGTTTTACGAACTATGTTTTGCCCGAGAGGCCGATTATGGTTTTCATCTCTTTTATTATAAACAGTATTGAACCCCTACTGAAATTGTCAGAAAGCATTTTCAAATGATTTTTACCAAAAGGCTGGATTTAAATGAGACGATCGACTCGTATTCTGATTTGGAAGCCCCTTATGCTTATTGAGTTTATCATAGATGTGGATTCATTATTTCATACTGCTCAGTCTTTATTACTCTTATTACTTACTGGGTTGGAGTACTCACATTACTCCCTGCACCTCGTGTGTAAATTCAGGTATTTCGGAACCCGGTAGTGGGTATTGATTGCTCAGACGCGGAGTCATCAAAGTTAGCAAGGTGGTTGCACGACGTTCGCAGCACTGCTTTCTTCCTCTCATTTTCATTACTGTACTTAGTACACTTTTGACTATTTTTGTCGTATTCAGACCTTGGTAGATGCTCATGACTAGTGACACCCCGATGTCGGGCTTGTATGTTATTTTTGCACTGTTCATTCAGACTTATGTTATGAGATATTGTTTAATTAAAGGCATAAAAATGACTCTTAATGATTAAAGGGTTAATATGGGTGTTGTGTCGGCTGGTCTTGTCTACACGAGAGGCGCCATCACGACCGGGCTGGTTGGGGTCGTGACAAAAGCACAAAGACGTGGACGCTGTTTTTGAACCACCTGAAAGAGCACGTTGTCAAACAACATTCAGGTATTTGTCTAATATTTAATCGGCACGGTGGTATATTAAGTTCTGTGGAGAACTTGCCTGCATGGCAAGAACCTTATGCATACCACCGTTACTGTGTGAGGCACTTTAAGGCCAATTTCCAGAAGGCACATCCCAACAAGGATCTACATGATTTGATGTGGATGGCAGTAACAGACCACCAACAGCATAAATTCCGGAGGCATATGGATTCTATCAGGCAAGAAGACGAGGTAGCCTATTGTTGGTTAATGTGACATCACCCGAAAAGTTGTCTTGTCAACACTATGTTATGTGTGTGTTGTCTTGTCGAACTGAAAAAGCTGACCAGCTGACATAAAGTTGTCTTTTCAACATCATGATATTTAACACGCAAAATATAACGCCATTAGATAGTACGTTATGTATTTAGCGCGGTTGAACACTATGTTATGTGTGTGGTTAGAGCAGAGAATAAATGGCAACCGGGGCTAAACATTGGCATGTATGTGTTTAGTGTATTTTTCATATTTCATGTATTTTTATTATGTTGGCCTGCTATGTTTGTGTTTGAGCTTGTGTTTGTACTGTAGTAATATTTTCCTTGTTTGTTGTACTAAATTTTATTTTAATTGAAGTGGAAGTTAAGTTTAAGTGCTTGTGTTGTTATATGAAACTATCAAACGAATGGGGATCTAAAAAGAGTAATGGGCATATTCGATTAAATATTGTTGTTAATGTATACAAAAATATTATTTACACCAAATAAAAAAAAGGAAGGCCGAATCAATGTGTCACGCATCCGGTGTGTCTCAATGCAGTCGCTAGCCTGAGCTGCATCCCCTCCCGCCTGGGTGCACTATCATGATTATCATCATCAAGTCGTCTCCTTATAGCCAGATGCGGCGCAGGATGACATGTATCGGTGGTGCTGTCAGGTCCAATAGAAGGCTACATAATATATGAAACTTAGTATAGAAAACTACATAACAATTCACAATAATTTATATTGTCTTACCATCATCGTGTCTGGATCCTGAATGTAGTCATCTGTCGCAGCATCGCATGAAGCCTTAAAAAGGAAATTAATAAAGTTAAAGGAAATAAATAAGTTACAATTAAAACAAATTTAAATTCAATACTAATAAACTCATACCTGCGCATGTGATGTGGAGCCATAACTCAGTTGGCGCCCACTATAAAAATCTCGGGTCGGTCGCTCCTCATCAGTGGTAGACGGGCCTGGGAAGTATCTACCCCAATCCACTCCTTAAATATCCGAGCACGTGATCGATAATTGACTCGATGGGGTCACCTGCGATGGCACTGGAGTGCGATAAATTCCAAGGCTGTAAAACGGCATGTCCGTCTCATGCATGCCACTTGCTATATCAGCAGCAACATCATCAGCAGGAGCCTCAACGCCCCCTTGCTGGGGACCACCTCTTCTCCGCCCACGACCACGTCGCCCGGCACCACCAACTCGTCGGGCACGTCTAGCTCGTGGGATACCACGACCTCGCTGGTACTGTGCTGGGTCTATATATTCAGCCTCGTGTGCCAAACGCTGATCCGATCGGGCTCGCTACAGTGTCTGGGCAGCCACATCCATGAATCGACGACTATACTCCTGCATGACCACAGGATCGTGGACATGACTCTGCATCTGCTGCCCCATATGATAGACGGTATGCAATCCAATCGCCTGCACAAAGTAAAAAATATAAACTACATATTTGGCACTAAATTACAGGTATATAACTAATAATAACAGAAAACATACCAGGGCCTCGTGTCTCCCGGCGTATGGGACGTACCGACCGTGTGCCTGATGAACTGGGTTCCCGATAAAAAATCGGGAAACAGTGCGGTACCACGCCATATAACGTTGAATAGGAAAGTGTTGCGGAGGTGGGGTCAAGTCCCCTCGCCTGTCCCAAGTACCCAACTGCTCGTCAAGCCATGCCATAAATGTGTCGTCCGTCCTGGACCGATCATCCTTCTCATAATGTAAAGCAAGCCATGCAGGCGGACTCGGTATAGGCTGCGACGGGCCAAACTGAAAAAATACCCGCTCGGAGGCATGATGCTCGACAATATCGAGGCATATGAGCGGGACAGAAGCCCTCCAAATATGTCGGCCGAACGTGCAATACGCTGGCAGGGTACCTATCACCTCATCGTTGTACGACGTTCAGATGAACTATCAAATAAGAACACAAACCTTTAGTATGCGCAACACTAAGTTAATCTATAACAGGTAAGTTTAGTTAGATATTCACCTGTGCGTCCTCCAGCAGATCCAACACATCCCTGCAAGGGGGAGATTATGATGGGCATCATACTCTCGTGCAAGAGTACGACGCATAACCCACCTAAAGGCTAGAGGGAGATGCAGAATTTCTACATTAGCTGGTAGTTGTGGTAGAGGTGGCTGAAACTGCAGAAATCGCTCTCAGGCCCAAACCTAACATACAAAGTTGACGTAAAGTATAAGATTAACTATAACTAGGTAGAATTGTAACTAATGGACATATTATTTGAATATGTTGTCACCTGTAGAAGCGGCAGAAAGCCACCAACATCTCTCTGTATGCCGATGCAAGCCCAACACATCTGTTTGTACAAATATGATATGACAGCACCACCTCAGCTGTAGATGGTTGTATCCTTGAACCGGCCAATATGATGCAGAAAACGGAGGCTCACTAGGTTCCCCGAAGTGTTCGGGAACAAGACCCCCCCAAGTAGAAGGAGCAACAACAGCCTCGTATATCGTTGTACATCCACCTCCGCTGACTCATCGGTGATAGTATGGTGGATATGCTCCAGGTGGTCTCTAATGGGGACCAACTGCATACGACTGGACCCAGACGCTACAGTTTCGTCCTCCAGCCTGAAACCCGTGAGCATGTGCAGCATATCCCAATAAGACTGCTGCGAATAATATCTCATAGTCGCAGGCAGTAAAACTAGCAAGCCATCAGCGGACAGTCCATATAAAATCTCAGCGTCCTGGAGTGTGATGGTGGCCTTGCCGATGTGCAGATGGAAAGTGTGCGTCTCCGGTCGCCACCGCTCAATCAAGGTCGTGATCAAAGCCCAGTCGAGCTGTATCCGGCCAATCCTAATAATCCTATATAATCCCATCTCCTCCATGTAATGGACCACGCGGGGATGTAGAACTCTATGACTCAAAAAATCTCACAATAGATCCACTCTCCTGGCCCGGAAAGTCTGTGTAAGCAACTGTTCGTCCCATATATACTCGGATCTATACTGGGGCTGTAGGGCTAATAGATCCAACGTCCGAGGGCCGGGATGTATAGTCGCGTCCATGTCGTCAATTATAAATTAAAACAACATTAATTGTATTTTATTATGTATATTAAATATTAATTTTTTGAGATACACAATTTTTAGCGTTATACAAAAATTATACCTATGGTTCCAAGCTCGGTATTTGAATCCTAGTAGCACCAAACTATCATTAATAATTATGTGTTTGTTTTATAATTTAAATTCATATTT